CCTGGCTGGGCAGCTTGCAGACAGGGACATGGAGATCAAACCGACAAGCTGAGCCTTGAAGAGAGAAGAATGGAAACAGCCTCAATTATGAAAGCGTGAACCTAAATATCAAGTTGAACTGGACAGAACAGGGGCCTCAGCTGTCAGCAGTAAGCTCACGCTTCTAGGGACAGGAAACCTTGCTGCAGGAGCAGTATTCCTCATTTACATATTTATGTAGTTTATACCATTTGAATTGGACTTCTGGTTGCTGAAGGCATTCTTGCTTTTAAAGTCACTTCAAGCCAGGCTTGTTGCTCTGGAAGTTAAAATGATCAGCTGTCTAGACAGCAGTGAACTACACCTTGTTTCTCTGTGCAGGCTCTCTTCTTGCTAGAAAGACAGGGTTATGAAGGAGTTGGGTTGAGTTGTGCCCTGTTGTGGTGATTGCCTATGTGCATAGTGCTCTGGGTAAAATAGTAATACTCCAAAAATTATTTTCATTATGTCTGCAGAGCACAATAGAGAAATGAAGAGTATTGTAAATGGCTTTACTGTTCTTAAGACCTGTTTGAACTCACCTGGCTAACGAACTCCCATATAGCGTGGTGTTGCACTGAGGAGACTTGCTTTATGGCTAGCTGGAAAGGGATGGTTTCTTCAGACAAGGGCGGTTTTAACAACTTGCTCCAAAGCAATGCTGTTGAGCTTTGACTGCTGCATGGAACAGCTACAGAGCTTATGACCCTTAGTCAGTGACCGGCTTGAGCTTGTTCTCCCCAGCGAAAGGAAGATGATTGCCCTTGCCTAAATCCAAAGGCTACTAAGTCACCAGCGTTTTAAACCACACTCTTCTAGAGGTTTGTCTTAATTGAGATAATGAGGGGCAACAGTAAGCGGCAGAACAAATAACCTGACTCCTGCGGACTACCCTGCTTTCACTCCTTCGGTGCACTTGGCATCTCCCTCAAAGTAGGAGAACTGGAAACGAACTATCTTCTGCTGAAGACAGCACTGCAGGTTATTTGGGAGAAACCAGTATGCTAACTGGGACAGCAAGCTGTCTTGCCTCTGCAAGCGCCCAGGACGATCTAGTGAGTTACGATGCCTTTCATCACTGATGCTAATGGAGAGTTTGGAGCGATGGAGGCTGTAAGCCTTGTGTCTGAGTCGATACAAAACTAGTGGATGGCTTGGCTCGGTGTGCACTCCATGTTGTTCACAGGTCTTTGCTTGAACCTGTACAGTTTCACCCAAGTATCTTGTGCTGTGAAGTGCTGCAGTTCTTCAACTCTGCTTTTCACCTCTGGTGGCTCTATCTGCTCGTACTGCTTTTGGGCCGTGTTCCGCAGGACTTTGTGGTGGCAGAGTTGTGCTTCATGAGCTTCTGAGCTTGCTGCCTTTGTGCTGGGGGCGAAATGTGCAGCTGCATGCTTGCTTGCATCCTATGCTTCCTGGTCACAGATTCTCCTGAAATGACCATCCCCCTACCCCCTGCTAAATTCTGTAACTCAATTTTCACAGAATCAAGCTTTTTAGCATTGCTTGACTAAGTCATCTTGTCCTCTTTTCAGTTGAACCTGTGGTTAAACCCAAGCCAACAAAGAGGGGGGGTGAGAAGAATGCCGGCAAATCAAGAAGGAAGAAGAACAAAGGGAAGAACAAAAAGAAAGGGACTCCCTGTGAAATGGAATACAAAAACTTTTGCATCCATGGTGAATGCGTATACCTAGAACATCTCCAGATGGTGACCTGCAAGTAAGTCACTTGTACCTTGACTTGGGTGTGCTTGGCATGAGCCGGTGGCATATGAGGGCTCGGAGGAAAAAAAATCAGTGTCAACTTGGCATAGATCCATCTCCTGTGGTATTTTGACTGAGAATCTTTCTGCCATGTAAATTAAGTGATGATGGAATCTGAGATGCATAACAAGCCACTGAACTCATCAGTTGGTCATAAACTCAAACCAAAAGAATGAAAAGGCGTGTCTTCCTGGAACATCACGCCCAAACTAATCTCGACTTGTTGAAATGCTGACAAACCTTGTGCTAGAGCAGTGACTGCATTTCATGAACATACTCTAAAGGGAGCATCCTGAGATTCATGGGAAACTCTGAAGATGTCTAAGTCGGGTTTGAGTGTGTGTGGGTGTCCTTGGCTCCAGACGGCACCGGAGCTGATAAGAACTTGTGTTAATGTTTACTTGCAGGTGTCATCAGGATTTTTTTGGTGAGCGCTGTGGTGAACAGTTCATGAAGACTCAAAGGAAGAATGATGTGGCAGACTACTCAAAGACTGTGTTGGTAGTGGTAGCTGTCCTGCTCTCAAGCATCAGCTTCATTACTGTACTAATCATTGTGATAGTGCAGTAAGTATGATATTCTTTGGTGTCTGTGTAGCTTAAGCGTGAGTGGGGCTTGTGTCCAGTAGCCCTGCAATGTGCTTGCCTCATCTGAATTACCTGTGTGGAAGACGCACTAAAGGGCTGTGTTCTCACCCCAGCTTGGATATGTCTTGAGAGTAGAAGCAAGGTGTGAGACGTTCATAAGTGACTAAGTGTTCACTTACCCTCTCAGGCTATTGGCTGTGGCCAGCCTGTGACCCTTAGGTTTTAAACAAGAGCGTTGCTGCTCTTGCTACAACCAGGATGGTTACAGTGCTGCAGAACATCAGTGGGAAGTGGAGGAGGAGCGTTAATGCTGACACAGCGATGCCTTCCCTAATCCTTGTGGAGAAGCCTGCAAGCAGTAATGTTAACAGCCTCATGCCTGGCTGTTATCCAACAACTGGGGGGGAAGGAAATGGTGCTCCAACTGTCTGTTTATTAATGGAGGTTGCTGAGCTTAAATACTTACACTGCAGGGGGGAAGCAAATCAGGGGGCAAGGGCTGTCAGTCCCAAATACTGCACTGCTTGAGGTTAAGATGGAGGGAAGGACCATTCTGGCCTAACCAGCTGGTGACAGTTTGGGGTGGTGGGTAATCAGAATCAGGGGTCTCATTGTGAATAAATGGAAAGAGCTTTTTGGGGTAGATGTTTCGGGCCTTATATCAAACTCATCTTTGTACTTGCAAACAAGCATCATGCAGCAGCTCATCCCTGCCTGTGCCCTTGTGTCTAGCCAGTGTGTTCGCCAGGAGTTTGTGCTGAGGTTAGTCGGCACGGGGGGCCTGGCACCAGTGTTTACCAAGTATTGGAGCAGTCCTCTGGTTCTGACACTGCAACTTCACCACAGTAGGCCTTGGGATATTGTAGGTGAAACTCAAAAGTTCAGCCTAATTTTAGATCTCTATGAAGTGCGTGAACTGAATTGAGTAGGTGCTGTGCCCTTTCCTGCAATTCAGGAAACAAGGTGTGCATTGCCCTTTCCCTGTTGCTTCATATGTAGATGTGAATTGAGGAATGCTGGGATGAACCCCTGTTCTCTGAACGCTGCCTCATTCCTCGCCGCTAGGAGAGATGACCAGTTCTGTAGTGCTGTAAGAGCAAATGATCATTGCTAGTTTCTGGAGCAAGCCATGGAATAGGGTTGCATTTGTTTCGTGCTCTTAACACTCACAGGCTTGAAGCAGGAGATTAATTCATCTGTACCTTCACCCAGAGAAGCTAGATGGTCTTTTTGGAATAGTTAATAGAGAAGACTGGAGAAACTAAGAGAAAAATGAATAAGCAGCTTGCTTACAATGTCTTCAAGGGGCACATTGAGGGGACAGGGACTTCTAATACTTAAGTCCAAGGGGCTCTGCTGCAGGCAGGAGGAAGGCAGTCTGGTCTCTACAGCTGTTCACTAAAGTCACTGGTGCTTTGATCAGTTCCAGCAATAAACGGTCTTATCTTGGTACCGATTTGGGCTTAAGCTGGGAAGCCCTGGCACTGTGAGGCAAAACTGGCAGTGCCTAGCCTGGGGGCTTCTTGATGTTATAGTAAGATACTGCTTGATGCTGAATGTTTAAAAACTGTCTTGCTTGAAACTTCCTGGTGCTGAGGAGTTGCTTGAGGATTCAAAGGACATGAGTTTAAATGCTGTGGAGGATGTGGGGTCTGGGAACAACAGAATGTATGTCAGGGTCCAAAATGACTTCTAACATGCCCTAATTCCACAGGGTCAGAAAAAAGTGTCCTCAGTACGAAGAGAAAGAAGAAAGGAAAAAACTTCGACAAGAAAACAGAAATGGCCATGTTGGTGTGTAAATGAGGAGAAGGCAGGTATGAAAACTGACTTGAAATGCTTTTCAGTTCTTCCAGGCTGGAGTTGCCATATGAGAATTGGATGCATGTTTTACAAAGCTAGTGTTGGTTGCTAACAGTTAAAGTGTCTTGAAACACATAGGTTACATATCAATGACTGGCTCAGTTTTCTGCTTTCCTGAAACCACCCGAGTTGTGTGAGTTCTTCAACAGTGCTGTTAGCTTTCTGGCTACTGTCTTCAAGGATAAGTGAGGATAGGAAGCTGTACTGTGAAAAGTGGACTTATGAAGGAAAATAAATGGGAACATCTGGGCAGAGGCAGGTTTAGTGCAAGAAGCCATGGTAGACTTCCATCATGGAAGATGGTGCAGCAGCCAATTGGATCATCACCCCTCATAAGAGAAGTACTGAGCCTTTTCATGTCTTCTCAGCAAGGCATCAGTAAGTTCTTGGTGCTTAGAGGCTGTAGAACAAGACCAAGCTGCCAATTCTGTGAGCACCACAGATAACCTCTCAGTCAGGTTTCATGCTGTCATAGCAACTGAGTGGTAAAGCTCCCTGGCCTAAGTGAATCGCTGCTGGGAGATTTATAGTGGATTTTAACAAGCAAGCAAGTTGATCTCTTCAGAGCAAAACTGTACCTAGCAGCAGACTCGAGGACCCTTATTGAACAGGAGTTAAACTACAAGCTGAAGGAGGAAACTATGAAAGGTAGTCCTGAGAAGTTCTGGCAGAACTTGGAAGTTTTGCTTTGCCACAGGTCAGCTACAGACCTTGTCCAAGCTTTGTCCGGTGCCAGCTGGAATGTTTTGCTCAAAGCTCCCTTGAGGCTGAAGAGTGTCTAGCAGTGTCCTCAGGTGTGCGGCACAGAGTAACCCACCTGCCTCGGGTGTAGGCTTGATGCAGTTCTAGCACAGAGTGCTTGTGTCTCGGGTGGTGATTAATGTGCCTGGTCTGCCCCTTACAGAACAATTCTGATGTGGCCATTGCCAAGCTGCAGGGTACCTCTGGCTACCTGACACATCCACCTGGACACTGTGGGCTGGAGCTGTTGCCACTAAGCCCTGAATCATCAAGACAGAGGCTGCTGCAAGGAGATGCCAACATGCCACTTGCTGCTGAATCGCTTGCTGGGGAGGACACTTACTGCTATGTCTTGGCACAAGGATGTGGAAGGAGCTGCCGCTATGGGGTAGAGGACCTGCTGGCAAGACCTGCTAGAGACTACTGCTACCGAGCCCGTTCTGTCACTGCTGGAGCTCTGGTCTCTGTGTGGATGGACTTTCTTCTGTTAGCAAGTCTCCTTTGGGCGGCTCTAACGCTAAGGGAGAGAGCTTGTTGTGGCTTTCAGGAATGGATGGAGGGGAGAAAATTCTGTTCCTTCTCCCAAAGTTAAAAAGGGAAGAGCTCTGGATGGCTTGTCTCCCTAGACCTCAGCGGATGAAAAACCTAATTCTGCTGTCACTGTGCTCCCTGGTGATATCAGCTTCAAAGAACTTTATTTCTAGTTCTGACTTGCAGGGCGTTGGTGACAGATCTTTGTCAGCCACACCTGGGTTCTGTTACTGTATGGGTGGAAAGTAATCCCTCTGAATTCAGTAGGACTCGTTGTGTGAGTGGAGCTATCCATTGGCATGTGTGCTAGCCTGAGTTAAAATTAGTCTCCTTGGGATGCTGAGACAGTAAACACAAGATCTTGAAGCTCTGTATCTGAAGGAAAAGATCCATGCTGAAAAACGAGCTGATAAGCCTGGACCCATCTGTTATAAACACAAAGCTGCTTCTGTTACCCAGATGCTCAATGCTGCTTTAAGCAGCGCTTAAAAGTATAAAATGCTTCACATCACATCCAGTCAGTTGAACTTGACCAAGAACCTGTTCCTTTGAAGAATTAAATTGGTGCACTGACACTCTGCAAGCAGTGGTCTCTTGTGCTCTACCTTCTGGTGCGAAGAACTCTACTTACCTCAAACTTTTCTGACCCCAGTGTCCTTGGTTTCTTGAACTGTCCATGCAGTCTTGAGCACAGAGTATTATTTGAGTTCAGTTTCTTCTTGGAAGAGTGAATGTGTTCTGTATAAACAGAGCAGAATTCTTCTGGTAGCAGAGAAACACCATTAATTGTCAAGTCATATCTGTAAATGTGTAAATATTTATTACTGTATTTAATATTTAATGTTTCCATAACAAACTTATTTATTTTATAATTAAACTTTTTACATAACCTAATCATCGTAAGGTTTTTTCCTTGCTCTTGGGAGTACATGTAAACACTTGAAATTAGAGCTTGGTTTGTCCTCAAAGCAGGAATTTCAGCACTTAAAAGCACAAATCAGGGCTGTGAAGAACTACAGCTGTGTGTGAAGTATGAGCTGGGTGCTCTCACAAGAGTGCAAGTTGTTTGTAAACAAAATGTGCAAATGCAAGTAACTATTTCAGTAGGAAGTCCATTTAGTTCAACTACAGAGGAATTTATGGAGTTACTGGATTAGGGAGGGATTAAGTGAGCCACCATGTTGGAAGTGAGGTCTCAAACTGAAGTTGGAGCAAGTGAGTAGCCCTTTGCACTGGACTCAGCTGGGAATACTGAAGAGGGGAGAGCCTTTCATCTCTGTGGTCAGAGAATTTGGACAGTGGCTTGAAAGTCGGTCTTAAATAAATAAGGAAAAGCAGAATAGCCTCAGGCCAGTGACTGCTGAAATAGGAAGGGAGCTTGGGCCTCCACAGTCTGCCTTGAATTTATTTTTGTCCCCAGGCAGGTACTAGGCCAAGTGTATGCTGGTGTTCCCTCTAAGCACTTCCAGCAGTGAGCTGGGGTCTAAGCTCAAAGCAGCCTGAAAAAATGAGTGTCAGAGGGGTAAGTTTGGTTTTCAAGCCATAGTTACAAAGAAGATAATTGAGGACTTAGTTTTGAGGCTCTTCTCTCAAAAGCATCTTCAGGAAGTGTTTCTGGCTGTGGCTTAGCCTGCAGCAGAGAAGAAAGAAAGAAAAGAGAGTTTCAATTAGGACCCAAGCTATGTACCCAGTGTAGGAGTAAAATGTAGTCCTGTCCAGAGCAGCTGAGATGAATTTGCGTTGGTCTCCTGTCTTAGCTGGGTAGTTCTCTGCCTCTGAGAGCGGCCTGTATGGTATGTAGCTGAGGTACAGGTAAATGTGTTGCAACATCTCTCGGGAAGATTGCAAGACTTCATTCCAGGGAACTTGCTTCATTACCAAAGTAAACAGCGCTTCTGCAAGCAGCTTTTCCACAGACATTTGCTATTAGAGCTCTGGCAAGAAAAGCTGTTTCTGTAAGTCAAGCCAAGCTTTTTGCTTTGGAGTAAACAAGCTCAATCTCAGTGGTAACGGAGCCATAGCCTAGTGAGACTGGGGATGCGTTACAGCTCCCATTTGAAAGCCATGAGATGACTCTTACAACAATCAGGTTTCCTACTTGATAGGCTAAACCACTGCTAGCATAGAAAACTCAGCTGCTTTCCCTCCTCACTCCCCATCTTGAAAGCCTAGGAGGAATGAAGCTGCTAGTGGAACTTGTAAATTGCAGCTGCTGTGTATTTTTCATACTCTGATTACTGAGTGGACTGGAGGGTATTTTCCAAAAATAGGCAGTTAGGAACTGGAGAGGCCCAACTGAGCTGTTACTGGGAGGCTGCACTCGGGAATCTGAGCATCAGCTGGCATTGTCCTGGCGTGGACTTGAACTCGTATCGGTAATCAAGAAGGAAAACCCTTGCTGAGTCTCCTTAGCTGAAAGTTTGGAAACAGTGGAGGGCAGGCTTCAGAGAAGACTTGTTGCTCTCAAAGGATTTAGGTTACAGCCAGTTTTTCTGAGAGGTAGGGCAGCCAGCAACTCCCTCGTGGAGAAGACTATGGGTCAGTCACATCCAGCATTGCTATAGTGCTTGCTAGCAAGCAGTAATGTTTTTTTTTTCTACTTGAGCTATGGCCCTGACAAATAACATCTTGCTACCAGCTTCCTCTTGTAAATTTGATACACAAGCGCCATCGAGACCTACAGTGTCCAGTGGGTTAGTTACTTAAAAAGCAAAAAACACAACTGATGGATGGAACTACACTTCTGGAAGTCTCTGGCTGTCCAAGGATGCTACGCTTGTAAGACAAGCAAATCTGATCTGCTTCAGGGCAAGGCCAGAGATAATTTTTATTGTTGGTCCTGCACAGCCAGGTCTGCTCTTCAGGATATTTACACGATATATACATCACCTGGCTTTTAACCTGCTCCCCTCCCCATGGAGTTACCCGAGTTCCACTAAGCATGCCTGGGTTTCTGGTCCCACATCTTATTAGTAAGTTATGCCTCCAGGTTTTCCTGGACCTGCCAGTGCCAATGTTACTTTGACAGGAGAGCCCCTGTGTCCTTGTTACTTGTAGCTGCCCCAGCTGGGACCTGGAAGACTAGCCTTGTGTTCTTGCACAATTTTCTGCACATGTGTCTGGTTTTGCAAGGTATTTTCAATATCCAGATCAGTATCCAGGAATTCTGGTGACGTGAGGGTCATGTCTGTTCAGACAATTCCTTCCTCTTTCCCGAATGTGGTGGTCTCCATGATTATTGTATTTTGTAGAAAAAACGCTGGCTCCTCACAGTGCTTTTCTCTGTTGTGTATTTATGGAGCTTTTGAGTGTTTTGCAGTTGTCTATGACCAGAGTAGCTTCCTGTCTACTTCCAGACTTCGCTTCCCTCCTCCCGCCCTCCTCCCAGTGTGTCCCTTTTCCCTCAGAGCAGGAGCAGATCTTACTTTGAATCTTGGCCTGCTGGGTGTTAGAGGAAGGCCAGTTCTACTCCGTGGCAATGAAAAGGTACAGGTTCAAGACGTTTTCATTCCCTCAGTAAATCCAGATATACACGGACATCTATGAAAGTGTTTGTACTGGCAGTGGCCACAAGTAGATGTTATGCAGTGGTTTGCCTAAATCCACCTGTGAGTTGTTCCATGCCGTTTCCAGTAACTGGTAGAAAGTTTCAAGTTCTTAAAATAAC